CCTGGATTTGTTCTTGTGTGCAGCAGCTATCTGTAGCAGCAACAAGAGAGAAACACATCAACGTGGGCCTGTTCTTAGATTTAATTTGAGATTTAATTTGTTCTCCAACATCTCCAAGATTTACAGACTATGAAAATGAGATCACTCACTGTCTGCATACAGAGAGCACTCCGTCAGGTGTGGCTCCGGGCTGGGCGTGGCCTTGTGTTTACCATCTTGAAGACACACCCCCTCCGAGCGGGTCCCGCCAATCAGGGCGGCCGCCAAAACCACGCAAATTAATAGCGAAGAGGATGAGGTGAGGTCCATCTCTGTAGATACAAACACATGAACAAGAGTGTTCAGCATAGAAAAAAAACAACACACACACAGTCCCGAATCATTACAAAAACAGAACTAAATGGTTTGCACTACGTCAAATAATAATAACAATAATAACTGAAAGGTTTGCTAGAGGGGTGGGAATCAAACATAATGGATGCAAAAGGCTGCAATTAAATCTGTTCCATCCACCCACAGAGTCAGTCTTATGGCATACGCTGAGTTACAGAGTATAAGTGAGATACCAGCGCCGGCTGTTTAGCTCCATGTTGAGCTCTCTGTGTGGTGACCTAGTATAGACAGGGTGAGCCTAATTAGTTGGAACTAAGGCACTGTGCTGACATGGCTGACATGCGTAGTCGTTTAATCTGACAGGCTTGCGGTCGATGTGTTGCCTACATGACGCGATCAAACAAATCTGCTGAACGCGGGGACATGGCCCCGAGCAGGTGGCCCCGACTTTACGCATGAGAGAGCCGCTGAAAATATAATGTAGAAATAACCTTTTTCTCTCCTTTACAGCTTTTCAGAATTTTTTTTCTGTCGGTTATTAAGAAGGAAACAAAGCACACGTGAAGGCTTCAAAACTACAACTAAAAGTCTACGCAGATCATTTTAATGCTCCAAAAAGCTGCGAGTCAAAGATTTTAAAGCGCAGTTATGGGGAAAGGGGGGTGGGGTCGCGGGCTCATTAGTGAGTTTATAGACAGGAGAAGACAAACCCCATCTGCTACAAAATATCCATCCAACATCGCGCGAACAGGTAGGCTAAGAGGTGTGACCCTCTGTGCTCTGTGTGGATATTCTTCTTCTAAATTGTACCTCAAGATTACAAAAACCCGGTGGAGCTTAGTCTCTCCGCACATCCATGTGGGTTTTACCTGTAGGCGGGAATAAATGCGGCTCCGTCCGGATTAGTTTGGTTGTGTTCGCGGGTCTCCTCGTTGTGTTGCTGTGGCTCCAGTCACCGCCGTGCGCGCTGCTCGGTGCTTCGGTCTCCTCTTCTCGGTCTCTGCGTCTGTGTACTGGCTCTGATCTCTGCCGCCCGGGGGCCCACTGCTCGCCACTTTGTCACCGGTTTATATGAAGGACGTTTCAGTCCCGTCCAGCAGGCAACTCACCCCCTCCCTGCTCTGCCCCATTCTGGGAAGCCCTCTCTCTCTCTCTCTCCATCCCTCCCTCCCTCCGTTGCATGCGCGCACGCACACACACACAGAAAAGACCGGACTCCCTCTTTGTTAATCTCCCAATAAGATGTTTACCAAATCCTCCTTGTTATCAGCTTTCCTTCTACCCTTCCGAGTAATGCCTTTGGTTGGAAAAACGGGAGAAATGAAATGTCATGAAAACACGCGAGCGTTCAACTTAACTGCCCTTCATTTTTACAGGCTCAATCGCAGGTGGTGCTGAGTCACACCTGTCCTCCATATTCACATACACACAGTGAGGTCAGGACTTCTTTTTTTTTCAGATAACAGGGTCAGAGGAGGGTACAGCTGAGATTTAATACCGCATGATATGCTGAGGACAGTGAACACAAATCTCTGCGGGAACAAAACACCGTGAACTCACCGCGAAGCTGCTGCGCACTGCAAACTCAAAGGCAGAGTTTAGTGCACCTTATTTTTCTCTTGTGTTTTAGAGGATGCATGTGGGTCATTTGTGTGAAAGAAAATAAAAAAATAGGAGTCAGTGACCTTACTGGAAGTACTAGCAGAGGTTGAATTCTCCAAAAGCATGTTATCAATTTTAGATTTGCTCAAGGACTGCCTCGTAGTTTGGGTAGACAGACATGACTTATTTCTCCACCGTGTGTTTTATTGCTCCTGGCTTTTAATCTCACCTCCCCTTGGACCTGCTGTACCAACCTAATCCCTGGCTGGATGCATCTCTCTCTCTCTCTGAGTGCCCTCCCAAGGCTTTCCACCAAATAAGAGCAGATGGAGAGTGTCTTGTGGCCTAGATACATCAGCCTAAAACCAAGACTGTGAAACCGGTGACATGTCTTAGACATGATTGGTTTTGGCAACAAAACCGTGCAGGGACAGGAAGGGACCAGACAGACTGGCCGCCAAATAATCATACAGATTGAGCGCAGATGAAATGGTCTCGGTGGAGACTCAGCTGAGATGCGAACTGTACCGGACCCTCATTGCTGAAGGAGGCAATGAGGGTTAGCCGGGGCCCTTTTGTCCACCAGACTGTTTCATAACTGCTGAGGGTCATCACCACAGAACACTTTATTTCTGGGGGTGAGAGCGCAGTGAGTGAGACGTGGACAAACAGCTCTTCAGCTGGTAATTAGAGAGGGAATAACAATATCCTTTGTGAGGAGCTATTCAGGGAAGGGAGAGAGAGGGAGGACAGAGGCTGCTCTCCGTGTACCCTTGTTGTCGTTCTCATTTAACAGGGTTGGGTCTCTGCCTGCGCTTGAGCCTTTAGGCTGGCCCTCAGCTGGCAAAGCAGCATCACCCACCGTTGTTGACTCACTGAGTGCCAAACATTCATTTCCACCATTTAGGGCTTCTTTGATTTGATACACTGACCGATTACTCCCGGGGTGGCAGACGCTCTAAGCAGTCCTGCAGCTGCATGAAATTTCGGAAAGAGAAAGGGTGAGGGGGTTGAGAAGCTTTCTAAAAACTCTTGGTCTATGTTGTGCACAAAAGCCGTTTTTAACAGAGGGTGCTACAGTGGCCAAGGGGGCACCAGAAAGGCTGCGCTAATAGCTCAAGTAGCCGGACTGAAAATTGCATTTGTGAGTTCATGAAAACATACCCAAATAACTGGACAAAGACGTGAAGTAAACAGGAAAACGTGAGTGCAGAAATCGACAACAATCAGTGTTGCCCATCAGCCCGAGTGCATGAAAGCCAGTCAGCAAATGAGCAGAGTTGAGCTATAATTGAGGATGCACTCACAAACAGTTTTTATTAGCAGCTTGATGGCATGTGCAAAGAGCAAACAATAATTGCAATTAATATTGGCTGTGACCACCAACATCACCAGATCTCCTCAGTACACTCGCACACACCTGTGGATTAGGGCTGTCTCTTTGTGTGACTCCATGGTGCTGCTGCTGCAGACTGATCACTGCTCTCCCTGATAATCAGACTGATCCCAGGTGATACTGTGTCATCAGAACCAATAAAGCTTTTGCACAACACTGTAGCACTTGTGCAAATTTACCCAAGGCAAATAAACCAAAGCACTGAAATGCTGGCTGTGTGGGAGGTATACCATACAGATATCCACTCCTCTGTGCTTAATAGTATCTAATTGTCCTAACTGTTAACACAGTGTCCACAGAATAAATTTCAATCAATCTAAACCCGGTCACTTAAATGAAATGTTACTATAAGGGCTTTTTCCTCCCACTGTGCTGCGTCATCCCTTCTTTTAACAACACTCGAAGAGCTTTTTTCTCATTATTACTTGATATACAATTTCAGCAGCTCAACAGTTTCCCACCTCCTTTGTTGCTTTTTTCGTTTCATAATGTGCCAAATGTGCTCAGTGAGTGGCAGGTCTGGGCATATTTGGACTCTTTTTTTCGCTGTTGGAATGTCATTTGGCACCGTCTTATGAAGCAGGCAAGAGAAAAGATGTCATCTGGAGGACAGCATCTGAGTAGGATTAATGGTGCCTTCACAGATGCTCAAACGACCTGTGCCATGTGCTCCCATAACTGTCACAGATGCTGGCTTTTGAACTGTGCAATAAACGATTTTCAAAACAAATTTCAGGTTTTTGGGTGCTTAGACTTCAGTCTAACTTTAAATGAGCTCAGACCCAGAGAATCAAGAGGTTTCTGGACCTTATGTATACAATGATGTTGTATTCATATAATGGAAGTGCAACTTGTGTGCCAGTAGTTAGCCATCTGTCACTTTGTGACTACTTACCCCATAGCAGGGTTTGGTTGTCATGATGTGGAGTTGGTTCTTCCTATAGTTATCAGTGGGGTTTTAGTAAAAAAATGGCATTTGATAAATGTAAATAGACTTTAATCAATACATTTTCACTGCCTATTTATCCCATGAGTTTAAACATGTTTTTTTGTATTTTTCACAAGTGTCAGTCAAAATGTGATGTCGACAGAATTCACCACTGTCCTCTAATGTGGCGGTAACGAGCCACGTGACAACCAACCTCAGCCTACTCTCCATGTGGAAAAATAGAAACCCCGTGGTTTATATGAAGACAACATCAGGATATCATTATGTTGTAAACATGGGGAAATCATTCAAAGCTCCTTCATTATTTAGGAAAAAATGATCTCGGGTTATATTCTCAGTGAGGCGTCGTTTATAATAATTTGAACCGTTTAAATGGTACAATGAACTGCTGCTCGGTGCTTTTTCTAACAAAAGGTCAAATTCAGTGACCTTTTAGTTGACAGAAATGTCACTGGTCAAATACCAAATTCTTGTTTTTTGTTGATTTTTTTTTTGGAAAAAAAAAATTAAGTTGCCATTTTTTGCTAACAGGACACATTTCAAATGTCACCAGGAGTCCAGTGTTTGGCAGATGGATGAAGACAGAATCACACTATGATTCATTTGTTCATTACATCAGGAGTCAAAGCACCTGTCACTTTGTGTCCTCCAAATCTTTTTCATTTATATACGTGAAATGCTTGCTGGATTGAACAGAAATCAAAAGAGAAATCTTAAAACTGGAATATATTTGATCATTTATTTAAAGTCAGTGATTCAGCACAGCATTACAATAATTTTCTGTCTCACAAGAAACACTCGAGCGACCTGACATTTTACAGTTTTTACAGTCTGCTGTCACACAGGCTTGTTTTAAACTTAAAAGGCAACTTTATGATGATTTAAAAAAACAAGAAAGAAACTCATAATACAAGAACAAATTATCAGAGTTCTACTTGTTAGTCACAGAACATCGACATAGCTCTAATCATCGTTCTTTAAATGCATTTAATGGGTTGAGAAAATGCCACTGTCTTTGTTTTTTAATGTCTGAACTGTCAGACACATTCAGCCTCTAGTGGGCTGGTGGCTCGTTGTCATGAAGTAGTCCCAGTTCTCCACCCTGTGGTCACATGGCAGCAGTGCATGTGATGTATTCACGTCCATTTGTCATCACTCATTTATGATAATGACCTCAGGTTAAGGTGAAAGGCCACCTCCCAGCTTCAGAGAGGAAAGTTGAGATGAGTTGAATGAAGCACCAAAGCTGAGCCCAACCATTTCTGATCTCTTCCGGGCGTTGCTGCCGACATCATCACAGGGTGAAGGCAGTGAGTCCGGGTCTCTGATGAGGCCATCTTTAGTTGCCGTTCGGTCTCGATCTTCGTTCCTGTATTTTTTTCCCCAGGTTCATAGTCAGGGTGGTGACGGCATAAGTGGCCATGATCATCATGGTGCTCCCCACGAACTGCGATGAGGCTCCCCGTTTGGTCACAAACCTCCACCCACGCCTCTGCAGATGAGCATCTGCTGCCTCCATGGTCTGAGAGATGGGCTCCATACTGCAGCTGCTGTTCAGACACAACGAAAAGCTCCTTTAACTCCCGGGAAACAGAAGAATTCAAATCTTGGTGCTTCTGTTTCTCGGATTGGTGGACTGTCTTTCTTGCGGCAGCTCAGCACACCTGCTTACCTTCTCTCGAACATGCTTCTTTATGTACTCTACCTTGTTTGCACACGTCAAATCCTCAGAGCGAGCTCGGTGCCAGGGTACGTCAACAGCACCTGTTGAGACAGAATTAACAAGGTCTGATGCCTGCAGAGCAAGCTGTCCAGACAGGGCTCAATAACAGAACACTGAAGTCAATCAGTATGACCTTCTCTGTATTTCTGGACCAAGGACAACACAGAGCAGGGAATACAAGCTTTTATGAGCAAGATCCAGATTTGTCCAAATGTGGTGTGTTCATTAAGAAGCCATCAGTAAACAACCATTTACTCTGCACCAAATTAATCCACAAAAAGTCAATTGTGGTCTTTTAACACTTTAATGGTCATAATTTGTTGTTCTCTTGCACTCCACTTACACCCAGAACCCTGAATGATTTGTGGTTTTCTTCTTTCAGTATCGTAATCTAATTACTTTGCATAATATAATGATAAATCCCATAAACCTGATAATGGAATACGCTGGTGATGATGCAGTATAAAGGACTTCTTTTTTGCACATTACGTAACAAGTTGTTACATTTTCTCCACGCTGATACATCACGAGTATAATGGCAACATTTTTTAAATACAAATTTAAACTCTCATCTACTGTACATGGTGTAATCTGTACCATCAGTTCCAGCCCATCAAACACATTATAGTCTCCATAATCCATAATCCACACTCAGAAAGTATTGATTGCATTCAAATTTTAAGTGTTTCATGTATTCTGGAAAACACTACTGAAAAAAAATGAAAGGGACACTTTTTAATCAGAGCACAGCATCAAGTCAGTTAAACGTCTGTGATGTTGATATTAACTGGTCAGTTTAAGTAGCAGAGGAGTTTCTTAATCAGGTTTAGCAGATTTGGTGTTAGTGGAAAAAACAACAGGTGCACTAAAGGGGCAATAATGAGACTCTGCTGTTTGTGTAGGGACGAACGGATGCACTGCCGGAGCTACAAAACGACCTCCAGCAGGACACTAGTGTAAATGTCTCTAAATAATCAGAAACAGGCTTAATAATGGTGGCCCGACATCCTCTATTTGGCGTTCATCATAGAATACCAAAATTGGCAGATCCACCATTGCAACCCTGTGTTTGTGAACTGCCTGTGACGTCGTTCAGCGTGACAGGTTTGGCGGTAGGTCAGTGATGGCCTGACCCACCATGGAGGGCATCTTGAATTCAGCCCTCTGTAGGTTAATCATTTTCATTTCCATCAAGCAGCATGGCATCCTTTCATTCCTAACACTTTACCCAGTCTGTGAAAATATCCAGCATAAACTTTTTTCCCCATTGAAACCTGAACCTGTCACCAAGATGACATGAATAGTTTGTTACACACTGAAATGGCTGAGTGTGAGATCCCAGCTGGTTCTATAAGTTATGTTCTGTTGTTTTTCCTCTCGTTGCACATTTTTCATCAGTTTTCATGTGTCTCACTTTGTCACTTACCCTTGTCTTTTATCTCAGGTCCACCTCCTCGCTGCTCTCCTGTGTGATTACCTTCCCCATCCTAATGTGTTTCACCTGTGTCTAATTGTCTCCCCTGTGTATTTAAACTGCGTTTTACCTCGGTTCTGCGCCACATCTATCACATTCACAGTGGCTCAGCATTCTTCTTGTGACAGTCTGTGCGTGTTTTTGACCCAGTTCAGTCCCCTGGTTTTTGCTCTGCCTGCTCCTTTGTTTGTTCTGCATGCTCGGTTGGATTGATTACTCCTGTGCCGAACTACAGTTACGACTTTGAACTTTTACCTCCCCTCTGACACTCTGAAGCTCATCGCTCAATACATGGAGGTTCTTGTTTTGTAGGTGTCACTGAATTCTCTGTCCAGCCCATTCATGTGTTAAAGTAAGAGGCAGTGTTTTTCATTCCTTGTTTTTCTTTTCTATTAGGGTTAGGGTTCAGAAAACATTTAATTTGAATAATCCAAAAATCTATTTTTTGTATGTAAATGTCATCACTAATGAGGATAATATGGTAATAGTGATTCTAGTACCACACATCTAAGCACAGCAGTTATGAACTCTGTCCATTACTTGGAGATACTTATAGGTAAAGACTAAATAGTCAGTAAATACAGTGTAATAACTGATAAGTGATTATGAGGATAAACGCTACATCAGATATTATTAGAGGGACTGAAGCTCATGCTAAATTTACTCACACGGCTCTTTTAGAAAATATTTAAAAAATCACTCTTGGGATTTATTTTATAATATTAAAATGTCATATTTCACAGATATAATATACATTTTTTTTAAAAGCGAGGCTTGAAAACAACACTTTGCTGTAGACAGTCTTGCACTATATTAACAGCGTTTTCACTTACTGATGCAAACTTTATGCCAGCTGATTCTTCACATTGTTGTCTTCATCATCACCCTCACCATAACCAGCCTATTGCTTTCTGATGGGACACTGCTGTTGATCTAATCCTATTCACTCTCCTAATAATGAAATCACCAGAAAAGTGAGGTCATACATAGAGGGCAGGGGTGTTAAACTCATCCTTTTACATCCTGGATCAATTTGATCTTCAAAGGGCCGAATCAGTGAAATTTCACTTTCTGTGAAGAAGTTTACTTACACATTTAATTACTTACACATCTAATCCTTTAATAAGTTCAATAGTAGATACGTTAATACTTTGATGTAGTATGAATGGCTGTGAGGGAAGTCTTCATCCATAGGAAAGGTTGTAAAACAAAAATGAATTCCATCCTTCGTGTGTTCCAAAGCCGTCCAGGTGGACAAATCAGTCTTTCCAGGACCGATTCTGGTCCCCATGCCTTATGTTTGACATCCCCGACATAGATTCTTCCTCTATCTAGAGTTATGAGCAGATATGTTGATGAAGCAGCATATTTGAAGGGTCAAACTTTTGACCCAAACTAAAGGGTTTGAATGCCTCCATGTGCACAGCTTTGGGAAAATCTATCACAGACATCAGGTCAGATTCATGTCTGTATTACAAGCGCAGGCTCTACAGCTGTAGATGGATGGCTATAGAATCTCCTGACAAACAGCACTGTTTATCCCATTATTCTACTTCTGAAATGACACCTCAGTGCAAGCAGATCAATAGACAAGATAAAGCATTCCCCTTTAATTTTTTTTTTTTTGCCGCAGTTCTGGCCTCACGCCTCTTTGCACCATCTAATCGCTCCTCTACATGAGTGATACAATCCACTGCTCATGTGATTGTTTTTAAAGATCTCAACTTTCTGGGAATTTTAGTGTATGTCATTAACCCTGATTTCTTAAAAAATGAACTGCAAACAGGTGGAGAACATGTAAAGGTCCCAGGTTCAAACATCAGGTGTTAGTCTAAGCACAAAGTCGCATCTGTGCACTGTGTTTTGGATGTTACTATATATTCTTGCACGACTCTTTTGGTCACTGTAATAGGCTTAGCTGTGTGTGTGTGTGTGTGTGTGTGTGTGTGTGTGTGTGTGTGTGTGTGTGTGTGTGTGTGTGTGTGTGTGTGTGTGTGTGCGCGCGCGTGTGTTTTCGTGTGTAAGTAGGTCTGTTCATCAACTGTCTGAGGGACTAAAATCACTAGCTGGATCTGTGCCAGTACTGCTTTGAAGCCCAATTACCCTTCATATTGTATCAAACACACACGCACGCATGAACACATGCATGCGCGCATGCACTCACACACACAATGCCATAACTTTGATCAAGTCATCATCTCGCAAAACAACCCCACATTACTCTGATAACATCTTCTTTTCTTCTGTTCTCTGTCACTTTGTTAACAGTTCTGTCTTTTTGATGCTTCAGCTAAGTCCTCATGATAACACCTGATAACACAACAAAAATACTCCAGTTTCTCCTCTCTTCTCCTCTCGGTTTATCTCCCTGCTCAACTGATGCTGTACAAAAGAGACAACCAGCTCTTTCTCAGCATCATTCTGTTGCAATGCCCTTCAAAGAAGTACTTTAATAATCCAAATTAAACTGGAACAGAACCCTGCACAGTCTATTCAAATCAAACAACATCTACACAGTGGTCTAGTTTGCATCTTAATCACTAACTAGTGTTTTTTAATAAGTTCAAGACCAAACAATAACAATTCGATATGGAGTTCCCCATAGTTCAATTCTGGGTCCTCCTTCATTCATTTTGTATATGCTTCCTAGTCCAGAATATTTAGTAATTTCTGAATATCAGTTTTGTCTTATGGAGGGATTATTGACTTTTATATATAATTTTGCTATTAAAGAAAGAAGAATAAACATTTAGTGCACTGAACAGATTGACTGAAATCAGTGATGCCATTAAAGGAGATGTTTATATGTAAAATATGAATACTCTTAATAATAGAAGTTTATTATTAAGAGTTTGGGTAGGTCATGAAGTTTTTTAAAGCTGCCTACTGGTGTAATTGATCTATATAAATACATTGTACACATCCAGGTATTACATTTCTGGATACCTATATTTATGTCTGTGCACTACTTAGGAATTAAGTAAAGGTGTTTGTTAACTTGCTTCTTTGCGTGCTGTGATTATGAATGGGCCTGTCCTCTCACTGAGTGCGTTTGTCCAAAGCACAAGCGTGTAATGTGGTACTGATGTGGGTTTAGGGATGTCCTGCTGTGCAAAGCCTTTAGACTGCCAGCTGGAGAAGCGCCTTCTGATTCAGAATAAGACACTGAGACCATCAGGATTACCCACAATGCCTGCTGCCACCGTCTAGCCTCTAATTGGTGACGTCTGTCCGTGGGTGTGTAATTAAAGCACGGAGCATAAAGAGAGAGGAAGTAAAGATGGAAAGATAAAAAGAGGAAAACAGAATGGGATAAATACTTTTATCCTCCGTGACAGCTGTTCCACATATGGCACAAAGAATTTCCACTTTTCCAAACAGGAACACGAGACAATCAATGACTTAAAACTATCTACACCAACATGGACAAATTTGCTTTAATTTGATCTTAGGGGTGTGTGTGTGTGTGTGTGTGTGTGTGTGTGTGTGTGTGTGTGTGGGTGTGTGTGTGTGTGTGTGTGTGTGTGTGCGCGCGCCCTTAATGTGACCCTGTGATCGTCTTACAGATTAAGTTGTGCCTCTGGTGCTCAGTCTAATTTATTTGATGCACAGAGTGACGTGTTCTTTTCAATGAGTGTGAAAATAGACCCAAACCTTTGCTCTGACTTCCTGTTGACCTAGATAAGAATTGTTTCCCCAAAGGATAAGTCGACTAAATAAATAAACAACTAAAAGTGAAATAATCGATTAAAAAAGGCAATCAGGAAATTGCTTTAAACAATTCAATTCAGTGCATTCAGTTTTATTTATACAGTGCCAAATCACAACAACAGTCGCCTCAAGGCGCTTTATATTGTAAGGTAGACCCTATAATAAAGCATACAGATAAGTGTGTGACCAATCTTCCCCCACTTTTTTTGTAATTCAGTAGAAATCCTTGCTCTTTTTCTTCTTTGGCATGTTGTACGATTACTTGCAATGTCTTGGCATGAAATAAACCAAAGGGAACCTTTGCAAGCACACAGAGCACCATGAAACACTGAGCAGAGTTGAAGATGGCTCGGCTGCACTGCCTCGTTTGACCACAAGGAGTCATGATGGTGATTTACAGCGGAGTGAGAGGGGGGCATTACCTCAATGAAATAATGGAGTTTCACATTACTGCTGTGTACTAATGTTGTAGAATTGCTGGGGGTGGGCCAGTTAACAAATAACAACAGTCAGTCAGGCTGATAGCTGCTTAAGCATCCACACACATTTTTTTAAACAATCCTGTAGCTGATGTTTCTTTTTCTGTTTGTATTTCTCATACCTAAACTGATCCATTTATCTATGGGAGATATTCTAAAATGTTGGCACATTTATATCTTAAATAATATAATTAATTGTGGTTTTCTATCTTTTTCTATCCATAAAGGATTAAGCTGACTGTTATGCGGATTATTGCTGACACTGATCTCTGTCAGTTGAGCTGTTTTCATTGTCAGTCTGGAAATAAAGTATCTGCCTTCAGGCTTCTGGAGCAGTAAGTCTTGCAACTCTAAGACTGTTACATTAAAAAAAAAAAGAGAGAGAGAGGAATGCAATGGAGTGCTTACATCTCCAAACAACTTTCCATTATCCTTGCCCCAGCAATGGGCCAACTCCTGTCTAAGATTATGAAAGATTGTTGTGTAATATGTAGTAATATGACTGGGGTCATAAAAGACCTCACTATGGGTTACTTGAAGCGTAACCGAGTGCAGTACAACATAAAAACCAAAAACATCTATCAAATCTAAAATATGTGACAAAAATGAGCCTGGTGCAGTGACAAACTGCAGCTGTATGTTTTTCATTTTTTGAATAACGCTGCTGCTGCTGGATGAGGGAGGAGGTTATGGAAAGGCTCGCTGTTCCCATCTGTCCACATCCTTTTTGTGTTTTTGTAATGTCTATTTGTGCGTGTGTGTGTGTGTGTGTGTGTGTGTGTGTGTGTGTGTGTGTGTGTGTGTGTGTGTGTGTGTGTGTGTGTGTGTGTGATATACAGTCACCATGTGTGCTTTTACTTCCTTGGGGCAGGGAAAGAAACATCACTCATAAGTCACATCACTGAATCACTGCGATGCTTTCTGAGTTCTGAGCTGTGCGTCTCCGTTGGTGTCACCTTCAGGGAAAGCGAGGGCATTTGGTTTGGTCTGTGATGGGAAGGGTTTTAAAAAATGTCGTGAGTCTTATTTTATCTTACTTTAATTTATTTTATCTCCGTATTTTTATTTATTTTTATTATTTATTTATTTTTATATATATATAGTTTCATTTTGCAGCCTGTTGGAGATGGAGGTATGTTTTTTTTCCCAGTAGATTGGAGGGTTTGTTCCCTGCACCTTCTGGTCGGGGAGCGGGTCCTGACTGTCATCTGCACTTATGGGCCGAATGACAGTTTAGAGTACCCGGCCTTCTTGGAGTCCCTGGGTGCGGTGCTTGAGGGTGCTCCAACTAGGGAGTCTGTTGTCTTACTGGGAGACTTCATTGGGTAACGAATATGAGACCTGGAGGGGCGTGACTGGGAGGAACGGTTTACCAGATCTGAACCCCATCGGTATTCTGTTACTGGACTTCTGTGCAAACCACAGTTTGTCCATAACAAACACCATGTTCAAACATAAGGGTGAATATGTTTATTAATATAATGCTGGACATACCTGGGGTGGAATGAGGGTGCGCTGGGAACGCCTGGCAGATTCCCCTGTACGCGAAATCTTAGCTCTCACCTCCGGCAGAGCTTCAACAGCATTCTGAGGGAAATGGGGACACTGAGTCTGAATGGACTGTGTTCAGCATCTCCATTGCTGAAGCTGCTGCACCGAGCTGCGGCCTGTCATGGTGGTAACCCCCGAACCAGATGATGGACACCAGAGGTGAAGAGAACTGGAAGGTGGCTCGTGTAGTGGCTTAATATAATATCGGGTGTGTGGCAAGCTGTCAGGCGACTCAGAAGGGCATAGTGGTGCTCTACCTGCATGATTCTGTTCATAACTTTTATGGAGGATGGCTTCCATTTGGGGGATCTCAGAATCTCATCTCTGCTTTTCGCAGATGATGTCGTTCTGTTGGCAAACCCAGGACACACTGGAGAGATTATGTCTCAGCTGGCCTGTGAAAGCCTCGGTGTTCCCCCGGACAAGCTGGAGGAGATGGCTGGGGAGAGCGAGGTCTGGGCTCCCTGGATGGATGGAATTAATTATTTTCTTGTTTGTTATTTCTAATTTAATGTGTCTTAAAAAATGCTTTACCAGTCTAAAGGCCATGTTCTACCCAAACAGCTCAAAAATATTTGTTTTTTTACAACAGCGGGGGAGAAACAGGAATTCGCACATAAGATGGAAATTTAGGAGAGACAATTTTTGCCAGTAATGAGCAGGAGACGAAGATTGTTTGCGATCTGTAATTTCACATTAACACAATCCTGCTTTAAAGGCAAGTGTGAGTGCAACACAGGCTGGTGGTAGAGTCTTGATGTCCTTTGGGGATGAACAAAACAGCAACATCAGCTCGTGTTCCAAACAAAACTGAGCAGCTGTTTGTCTCAGAGCTCAAAGGGATTATAAAACCATTATGTAAGAAGCTATGAGAGCCACATCCTTTCTGCGTTCAGTGGATGCAAAGCACCGGCAGTTTGTCCTAAAGCAACCATAATGACAGAATCATGAAACTCACAGAAGCATGTCTTCCAGCCAGACTTCCACATACTCTTAAGATTTTTAACTGTAGGCTCAATCCGGCCTTTGCGGCAGGACAGGCTAATGGCCTCTGTTACCTGCTATGTGTCCTCTGGCTTTATTGCAGCATAAGGGACATTCAAAGCTGTAACAGAGCTGAATGGGAGTGGGAGGACAATAAGGCTTTGTGTGCATGAGATGTTGACAGTGCTGGGACAGTTTTGCCTGTTTATCAGGGTTCAGGCAGCACATCGGCTACAGAACAAACCACTGCCATCAGCACTGAGATGATCTGGCTCTGTGACTCCCAGCCAGACGACCCTGACAGCTCCATTTAATCTAACAGCCCGCTTACAGGAGCCTTTTTTTTCTCTGAAAAGGTTTCGCAAATATTGTGATACTGCAGAGAGATGTATTGTTTGATTTTACAGCTTAGACATTTGTGACATCTACACTAAGATCTACACACATAAGGACATTTAAGAGTGCTCGCGTGCATTGTGCTACTTCTGTACCACAGAGAATAATCAGAAATGCTTCAGACAGCTAAAGATTTTACTGTTTTTACAAAGTCAATAGGACTAACTAAAACAAATGTGCAATGCATGATTATGCCTGTTTATGTGTGACTGATAGCAGACACATTTGGACCTGATTTGGGCAACTTTCTGCACTTCTAGCCCAATTACAAGCACTGGCAAGTGTCCTTTAGGCCAGACGTGGCTCAGAAATCATTAGCTGGCCCATATCACAATTTACATCCTATCTTTCACATAAATGCTGGACTTTAAGACTCACGATGACTTAATGTGGTCAAGTAACAGCTACATGTGGCTCGGTCATGCTGGCTATCATATATATATGTGTGTGTGTGTGTGTGTGTGTGTGTGTGTGTGTGTGTGTGTGTGTGTGTGTATAACAGCTACAGATGTGACAGTACAACAGTGCTAGTACCCTGTGTTCTAGATTTGGACACGCATTTGAGCTGATTATGGTTATAAAGGAAAAACTAAGGGATCACCAAAGTTCTGCCAGTGAGGGCGGCATGGATGTATTTCAAGCATTTGCAGCAATCTGTTTTGTTTGTTTGTTTTTTTTGGGGGGGGGGTTGGTGCTACAAGAAGGCTCTTCTTCTGGAAACCATGAATCCATTTACAGTATTCAGGGCTGGGCCACAGTGATGGATATCCATAAATACAGGTATGCTGTTTTTAATGTAAAATATTGGTTTACCTGTTGAGAATAGAAAAAAATCAGCCAATATTGAAGTCAGATGACCTGTTTGTTTATCTGAGAATCTCGCATATGAATTCTCTGCAGATGGACTGTTCTTGTCAACAGCATCCCCGCAGCCTTCCTGGCCATTTCCTTTTGGATGGACCAGTGTGGGCAGAGTTTGGATGCTTCAATGCTTTGCAGCAGATATCCTGCTGTGTCTGGCACGGATGAGACCATGCTTGTGTGGGCAGTTTGGACCATATGTTACATAAAAACTGTGTGAAAGTCCTAATCTCCAGCAAAGCATTACGCAATGACTTTGCCAAAAGGGGCACCAGTCTGTCTGTCTCTGAAGGATGGTAATGGAAGGAAATCTTTTTTCCCATAACACCAGCATTAACCAGAAATGATGCCTTTTTCAGATTTTGATATACATTCTGACAGTTATTGATATCTGATGCCGGTACATTTATTCTCCATGCACAATAATCCTGTTTTCTGCGTCACAGCGTGGATGAAAGGTCAGAGTGGTGCAACCGGAAATGCCTAAGAGTTTATATTCATTGCTTTAGATCAACTATCAGAAGACAGATGACATCATTTGTATTTTAAAATAGTTTTTTGCACATTTCAATAAAAGCCCAAGAGTATGCAAATTATTAGTTGTGTGTGTCTTTGCGAACAACATGCATGTAGAGTTGTTCGTGGCTTGTTTTGATTGTGTCATGTTGGGAAATCTGCCCACAGGTGTTATTATTACTACTGTAGAACACATTTATAGAAACTGAACGCAACCATTACAACAATTAGTGAACATGGAGGCTTGGACAAACATTTTACAGGAGGAACACCCTGCACATGGAAGAGTAGGAGCGGTAAGTATGTTTGGAGCAGACAGCAGAGTATACTGAACTTCAGGAGAAGGTAGAGGATGGGTGCAGGACATATGGCTTTTCTTTCTCTTTAAAGCTGCAATGCAGAGGATTAGGTCTAAGACCAATCAGAAATTGTGGCTAAATAAAGTGTCGGGATGTCAAATTATCCAGCTCTGATTACACTGTGATACAGAATAATGTGCAAAAGTCTTTAGCCTCATGTCTTTACACTTCAACATAGCCTGATCTCTGAACTCTTTCTTGACAAGCAGTCTTCAGAAATACTTCTCCACAGTTTTTCTCAGCCTTCTCTCCCTGTTTCACTTCTTTAAGATTAGTTTCTTGGCCACCCTTCCACTGAGACCATTTCTGTTGAAGCTTCCGTGAATATGGACCAACCAATGTGTTAGTTTTTTGCTGGACACACTGCACACCTGCTGAGATCTTTTTGGGAATCACCTTGTTGGTACAAAAATACTAAACTTTATCTGCCATCTTTAAGATTTTTTTAAAAATAGATTCAACTAAAGGAATTTGAGCAGAATATGTGTTTTTTTTTTTTTCAAACAGACTACTTGTAACAAAGTGCCTTGAGATAACATTTAAAACTGGTTCTTTGCTAAGTTGTCTGTTATGTGTCGACACAACTGGTTCACCGCTTTTTATGCTTCACTTATTCATAAGTAAGCGTTAAATGTCTTAAAAAAAACTAAGAAACTAACTTTTAAAAATGCTCTCACATGAGAAATGAATGTGCCAAAGCAAAAGAGAAAAACTTGAATCCCGTGTCGCTGTCTGTGGTGCTGATTTAGGCTCTAACAGGCCTCTTCACACATCAGCTGAAAAACTGCCAGCTCCAATCTAAAACTGTCTTTCAGGAAATTAAATCAAAACAGCAATTAGGGCACCACTACAGCCAGTGTGTGGTCGTAGCCTGCTGGGCTGGATTCTGTGGAAGAGTGTTTGGATATTCCTCCATTCATCCCGGAGAGAAGAGCGTCTCTGTCGCGCGTAGGAGGAGGAGGGGCGAAAGGGAATCCCAAGAAGGGGCTACAAATATCGCGTTGCTGCGGTGCCATAAGTAACCGCTTCACCCGAGAAGAGAGAGGGTGGAGGAACGACGGGTGGGTGAAAGAAACGAACAAGAGTTTTACTTAATGTGTGTGTTTTGTTTTTTTGGAGGGGACGTGCGCGCGCTCTCAGACACGAGGTGATGTTGACCGAACCGGACAGGCTCCTCCGCCGCGAATAAGCGGCAGTGACACCCTGACCGAGGGGCTGGGGCACGACGCGCGTCCGTACCACCGTGCAGTTATGTGTAAAATAATCGAGTGTTTGTTTTCCCCCCTCGCCGAGCCTTGAACGCGCTGTCCTTTGTGGCCACACGTGGAGATGAGCTCACGTTTTCTTCGTGGAGATTGTCGTGAAGTGACCGAAGTACTTCAGTGTTTGGATCGGCAGATCGCACATGGACGTTGAGTTCTCCGGGCCTTCGAGTCGCTCAGCTGGGCAGCATCAAAGCGCACGGACCACTGGGAAAATGTCAAGGATGCTCCTAGAAGGAGCCGCTGAGAGAGCGGCGTGATACTCAGCCGAGGAGACAGAGGACGCCGATCACAAGTGCAGTTTAGAGAATAACGGTCGCTGATTTTAAGGGGCTTTTTTTTAAAAAATAAAAACAATGGGACCTCTTGGCACGTTTTCGTGGGCTTCTTCGACGTGACACCGGACACACAGGAACTCTGTTGCTGCTGCTGTTGTTGTGTTGGTGTTGTGCAGTTCGGGCGTGAAGTGGAAGTAGCATCTTCACTGGGTCACAACCCAGATTAGTGTAAGGTGACAGAATTGTTTTAGTGAAGGGGAATCCCGACCGAGAGCCACACGGCTCGTCACTGCACCATGGATGACTCGGGGATAATACGGCGGCGGAGGCTGCAGGTGAGCTGGTCTGGGGTGGAATCCGATTTTTGTGTTAAATCCATCCTCTTCCAGTTGTAGAAACACAGTCATACATGATTACTACGTTCAGACAGACTTTATTTTTACTTTTTAGTCAGACTCTGTCATTGAAGCCGAATGCAGTAGCTATACTTTTCCAGCAGACACTGCAAATGTTTATCACTAAAAGTGAAAAGTTAACACATGTGTTTCATAAACCCAGCACTCATCATTAACCTGTAAATAAAGTTGTTGGGTTTTTTTTTAGCCATTATAGATGAATTGTTGCACTTTAACTTATTATTGGTGGGCCTTATATTAAACATGGTTGAAGTTTCAATCAATGAAGTCAGCCTTGGCTGAAAGTAATCTGTGTGAGCCAAACAATCGAGCTTCAGAGTGCTCTAGATGCTGGCTTACAGACAGTTTTTTCTGCTCCTGGCTCTGTATGATATCAAAGAATGGGGACATCCCTAATATGGGCATGTTGGGATTGGAGAAGCCCCACCCTCTTGCTATTCAAACGTTCTCCTGCAGCTTGTTTCAGACAGAGGATGAACTGAGGGGTACAAGGAACTGATGTTTATTTTGAATTGTGAATCATGCACAGCTACTCTAGCAGAGACAATGAATGGAAAAAAAAAACATGTTGTTGGTAGGCCCTTCCACAATGGATGGATCCACATGTTTGATCTGGCACAGATTTTACTCTGGATGCCCTTCCTGATGTAACTTACCCATTTATCCCAGCTTGGGACCAGCACTGAGAGTGCACTGGCTTGTAATGCCTTGAGGCTGGATTTGTGTCTCCTACTAGTCCCAAACTGAGAATCTTCTCTGTGTTGGGCGATTATGTTAACAAAATGAACAACACTGTAACAAAAGTCTTGTTCCTCAACCTCTGATTTTTTATTCATCAAAGGTTGTGGAAATAATATTCTTTTTAAACTTTGCATTTTAAGGCAATCAGAAGAACAAAAACTGTGTTAAACTGTGTTACATTGTGTAAAAGTTGCCTTTCACTTCCTGTCAGTCAGCTGATTTAATTATCCTTGTATTGTTCTGGTTCTCATTACTGTAGTTCTTTAAGATAAACCTTCATAAAGTTTACAACAAAAATCAGTTATTTCTCCATCTGTCCTGCTGGAGACTCGCAGCGTGCCTCTGGTGTTGAACATAGTAGCTCCACTACACTCAAACATATATATTTTTCATCATTCGTATCATATATGTGTCATATTTTAATAGTAGCTTTTCTGTTGTATAGTCAGTTAACATCCTCCTGTGAAGCTCATGTCAGGATCACACTCATGTACTTTTTAAAAGTCTCTTTAATGAGATGTTGTAATGAATGGCCACTCATGCATACTGATCTGCTGTGCTCAAATGACTGCGTTCATCCATTATGAAGCAGCCTGCTTAACCACAGGTCATACTCCCCCCCCCCCCCCTCCACACACACACACACCCCGCAATCTTTGTTTGATTCAGTCAAGTGAACTGTGGAGAGATGAGCCTACAGGCCAGGCAGACTGCAGCCAGCCTCCTGTGGGGCTTCTGTGCACGCTAGTGTGATTATGCAGTCTGTGCATTTCATTTCTCTCATTCATTCGGTTCATATTCTGCCAGTTTCGTTTACCAAGACGAAGGATTGTAAGCACGCACTCTGAGCTCCTTGAAGCCAAATTGACCTTCGACTCTGTGAAAAAGAAAAAGAAAGGGAGTGGGTATAAGGGAATGAGGGGAGGATTAGTGGTGAGGTGTCCCGATGGTTTCATGTCTCATCATCCCCACTGCTCAGCTCACTGCTCTGCTGCTGTGATGTATGACACGAGCTGTAAGGGAATTAATCATCATAGAGTCACACTCGCAAAGTCCCTGGCATTTTATAGATGGAGGCAGGCCAGCTGATTGATTTAGTGTTTGTATATGTGAGGGTGGGTAGTGTGGTAGTGTGGTAGAGGGAGGGACAACGTAGACTTCTAGTTTAATATGCACATTTGGGCTATTTGCATGAGTTTTATTCTCTAATGTGTGTGTGTTTCTGAAATTGTGCGTTGACATGTGATTGGCTCTGTATGTCCTAATCAGCGGCTTTGTCAGTCCCCTGGGTCTCATCATCCCAGCCGTCACTCGCTCCCTCTTTCACACTGTTGAAATCTCCCAATTCTTTGAATCTTTGGGCTGAAGGAGGGACAATACTCGGTGTATCAATGCTCAATCAACAATCATTTATTTCCATACAATTCAACAGTCAGAGCATTACAACGTCCGGACGGGAGAGATGCTACCAGAGGGTCAGGCACATGTCTCAAAATGGTGACGGGTTGCTCAGCTTTTTATAGTCTCTAGTGGCCCCCAGCTAGTCGTAAAAGCCAAAACATCACATTTTTTCTCTGTTACAGCGCCTAAGTTATGACCTCGGCAGTTGTTTCTCTGCTTTCTGTAAGGTGGGGGTGTGGAATGTGGTCTATCTATCTCCCCTGTCTTTAGATACAGAGTCTCCTGCTTACAACCTTCTCTTCATGATTCAACAATTAAGCATGTCAAGAAAACAGTGTAACACATTCCCAGCAGATCAAGGATACAGAGTGATGCACATTTATCTAATGAACTAATATGTGAATATGTTCTGTTAACTCAAAAGTATAATGAGAACTACACTACATACAGCTCACACACTCTATATTAAAGGGTATAATGTGATCTACAGCAGTATTCTAATTCAACTACTTTGATTACATATATAAGGTAACATATAATAACAGAATAATTTAATAACACACAGACACACACAATCATTCTCTCAGCACCATATGGTGACACGCCCCACTCCCCTGCAGTTGCAGTCAGGGGTCACACCCGTGATGCATCGCTTCAACACGGCAAACATGAAAAAAACCCACGATCTTTGCTCCTCGTTATGCTGGCTCCTCTCTGACACTACAACCTCCAATAGGCTTGCTGGCAAACACGCAGAAGATATGTCAAAAAAAGCCTGGTTCATCAGAGATGTGTGAAATAGCTACAAAACAAACTGAAATTTGTAATTTCCACATTTTTTGGTTTGTTTGTTTGAAGGAATAGTAACTATAATCATTCCACAACTACAGTACAGAACAACGTTTTGCAGTACTCACGGCTTAACTGAAATGAATGTTTTTGATGATGTTGAACTGGTTGAACTGGTTTTCTCACTCCTCCTTTGCAGCTGTTTCCTGTGTAAAATATCTGTGTTGCATGACTTGATCAAACGATACTTTAGCAATCATTAAGAAGAAGCTAGGCTGCCATTGTACCAACGTTGCCATGTTCAAGAAACCAGAATAAGATGACAAGCACCCATTAGAAGACGATCACACTGTGGTCATAAAGGTCAGCAAGTAGACTGTGGTAATTAAAAAGTGCTTAGCTGGTACTAATTGTTCTATTGTGCAGTTTTTGGTGAGCCCAAACCGTGGCCTGAGTTTCCTGTTTGAAGCTGACAGGAGCGGCACTCAGTGTGGTTTTTGCTGCTGCTCTAGCTCATTCGCTTCAAGGCTTGCCTACATACCTTGGTTCTACTGAATCATAATTTGTGATACTATTGTCTTCCTATCAGCTTGAAGTAATCCGTCCATTCTCCTCTGACCCCTGACATCAACAAGAAAACTGCTGCTAAAGAGATATTTTCTCTTTCTCAGACCATCCTCTATAAACCCTACAGATGGTTGTGTGGGAAAATCCCAGTAGATCAGCAGCTTTTGGAATACTCAGACCATCCCCTGAAGTGGTTAACACATTCGGTTGGCAAGTGAAAGGTTGCTGGTTCAATTCCAGCCAGATCTACAAATCCCCTTTGGGGTTGTGTCAGAAAGGGCATCTGGTGTAAAACTGCCAAATGAAACATGTTGAGCTACTCTCTGTGGTGACCCCATCTGACAAGGGGAGCAACCGAAAGCACTTTCTTCTACTTCTCCTTTACATATATCACAATGTTACACCCCTACAATACGTTTTTCTTAGACCAGCTTCTTACACTATCATATAACCCTAATGTAAAAAACAAACAAACAATATATTTAATATCTTTTTTTTACATGTCATTTTTTATTCAGTCTTGTTGTTTTCACAAATCACCAGACCATCTTTTCTTATGCTTGGCATGCCTCGTCCTCAGCCGCTCTGCCTTTTTGTCAGCCTCATATCTGTGAGTCAGTCACTGCTGTAGACAATGGCAGGTCCGGGCACTGTCTCCTAGCAGCATGACATCCCTTGATTGATCCCTGTTGTTCCTCCCCTGCCCGGCTCACCACCATTTTTCTTTGCAGTGTCTACAAAATGATTGAACTTGCTGGCGCATCCCCACCGAGCAGCAATGTGCTTTACAGGCATGCGGCTCAACTAATGCCATTTCATTATCACTGAGGCCTTTAAAAAAATTGTAGTGCAGCCAATATGACTTGAAGGACACTACAGCAAAGGCATATTTTATGGCTGAGTTACATGAGCAGCCAGTGTGTGTACCAGGAGACAAAATTCACTGGCCTTTCAAGTCTTTGTTGTTTACTGCCTGCATCAGGATGCTCGCCCCTGACTGGCTGTAGCTTAATGAAACAGCAGCATCCAACATAATTTAAAAAAGAACACAAATTTGAACATCCCTGCACATTTTAGCCCTGAGCTGTGAAAAACACAGAGAAATTTAAAAAACAACAATAAAACAGGCCTGGACTGTGAATGCAGGTTCTCTGCAGGTTAGATATTAAACAGCCCAGCATTAATCTAAATGCAAAATGATTGTGCATAAACCACAGTTATTACAAGACAGTGGCACAATTGCCCTGCATCTAAATATTCATAGATACAAAGTCCTGAAACACAGACTCCCATACTGTCTTGTCAACTGTGTGACATCCTGGGACTAAAGGGGATCAGACAGTCATTCATAAGCTCAAACTTCCCTTTCGTTCCCTAGAGGACGCACCCAAACCTGGATAATAACAGTGTAGTTGCTCCTG